CATTTTGAACATCTGTGATTGACTGCCCTGGTGCAAAACTGCTAGCAAAGAGCAATCTGTCTGGAGCCTGGTTCACAGCTGCTATATTGCATTTGTTATGAGGTAAACAGAGCCAGGCAAAGGGCTATACTGAGCAAAACTCTCCCACCATGTAACAGAGAAGAAGGGGAAGGATCTATGTGGTAGGGTAAGGAATCTACTTCCTGCACTCTGGATCCTTTGTTTGAATTGACACTAACAAGAACAAAAATTGGATATATAAATAATTGGCTCTTTATTTTAATAGCCACATTGCCCAAGGTCTCCCTCATAACTCCCTCAGTTCCTGGAGTAGCAACACCCTCCAAACTAGCCCTCAACCCTCATTGCCCAGGAGCCATGTCCATTTACAAAAATATACATCTGTCAGGGTACACAGGAGTGCGTTTCCTGGAGAACCTGAGGAAGTTGGAAGAGGCAGAGGAGAAAGGTCACAAACTGCGGCCACAGATCTGCTCAATGTGGTAGATCTCCTTGGGACAGTCTGCAGAGAGGATTAGTGGTATGTCCTCTGTCACTACAACATCATCCTCAATTCGTATACCAATGCCACGGAACCTCTCGGGGGCAGCCAGGTCATCTTCTGGGATATACATCCCTAAAAGAGAGGAAAGAACAAAGTGCCCTGAGCAAAGCAGGAGGAGACGCACTTTCAGAACACTGGCCGTTGCCACCCCACAGGGAGAGGAGAGCAGGGCATACACTTGGTGAGGCTGGAGAGTTGGTTCTGAAGACATTTATCCAGGAAATTAACTTTGGTTCTCTCTGTTCATAGCAGCTAGTGAAGAAAGAGGACCTTTGGCTCCTGCTAACAAACCTGTGTTTGTGAATATAAAGCCTCACTATTCCAGTTGGCCTTTCTACTGTCAGTGCCACCTTTATGAGGCCTGACTTTGATAACACTGTGGGTGGTGGGAGGGAAGGGCTCAGGAAAGGAAGCTGGTGTCAGGCACCAGTTTCCATTTGATGGCTGCAAAATTAGTAGTCAAGAGCCAGAGGGAAAGTGTAACTGTTAAATTATTCCTTTGTAGGGATGAGGGTGTACACTGCAAGCTGCAGCACAGCGTACAGATACCTGAGCTTCCTAGGAGCTAGTGTGGGTACCATCCAGCCATGGCAGCACAGAGCTCAGGCCAGGCACTGCCTTCTTGTCATGGTAAATTAGCCTATGCTGCAGCAGACTGATCCTGATTCCCCAGTTACTTGGAGTATCTCTGCACTACACTGCAGTCTGCAGGGGAAACATTCCCTGTTAAAAGTCCACCACCATAATCTGTTACTTTTGGTTGGGTTTTAAGAAAGAAATATGCTTTATTTTTTAATTATATTTTAAAGAACTTTTGAATCCTTTGGTTGAAGCTGCAGTGGGCTAGTTTGAACTGTATCACCATCATGACATGGCCTTGGCCCAGCCCTAAAAGTGCATCCTTTTTACCTGGCTCAATGGTTATCACCATGCCTGGCTGCAGTGGAAGTGATCGGGACATGCTCGGTGTGTCATGAACATCCATACCCAGGTAATGGCCCACATGATGCGGGCAGTACTTCCGGACAGCCTAGCAGAAGGCAAAACACTATTATTAGAGTTGGTGAACATGGACCCTGATCTGTCTCAGCACCAAGGGAGAGAGGTGGAATAAATGCACAGGAAGAACATGAGTCAGGTTTGTCATAGCAACTGTGCTGTCCATCTCATGCCTAAAGAATCACCATGGATTCTCCCCCACTGAAGGGAATACTGTGGATCCTCAGGAAATGGAACAATAATCCTTTGTTTGAGCCAAGCCTAAAGCAGGCTGTTCACTCTGCATCGATTCTATGGAGATCATGAATGCCTTGTTACTCCCAGAGTCTGTCAGTTTGTAGCACTTAAAGAGTGTGTTCTCCACATCACTCAGTCACCTGTCCTGGTTGCCTGAGCCTGGACTCTCCAAGGTCGTCTGGGCAGAGCTGTTTGGGGAACTATAAGTGAAATGGTATCCGAAAAGTAATTCCCTCCAAATTTGTGATACAGTCTTAGGACTGATATAAGCTCTGGGAGTAACAAGGCATTCATGATCTTCATAGAATCAAGCAGGATAAGGATACCATGCTGATGTCACATACCAACAGAACTAGGATATTAAACCTCCCCTCCAGGGCATTAGCCCCTCTGTACCTTCCTAAACCCTTCCCCAACCAAAGGATCTCAGTGTAAGCAGGCTCAAATTACTAACCCCGCCTCCTGTCTCCACCCTGTACCCTTGATATTTATTTCTTGGGGACTAAGCTGCAGAGGTGCTTCTCATCTAGCTGTGCTGCCACCTGCTGGGTGATATAGGCATTGCCTCCCCTTGGTTCATGGAGGAGGATCTCTCCCTATCACAACTGTAACCCTGTGCAACACAGCTGGATACCCATATTGGCTTGGAAACCAGGCCTCCTGAGAAATGCCAGGTTCCCAGCAGACTGCCATTCTTGCAGGCAGAAAGCAGTCAGACCTAGGGAGGGCTGGAACAAAAAGTTCAGGTACCTTGAAGTGGTTCTCATCAATGCTTCTTTTAAGAACCCCCAGTTCTCTTAGCTTCTGCCCAGTCAGGCTCAGCATGAGATTATAGATGTTCTCCAAGCTCACACCTGGGGAGCAGAGGCTCAGACAAGACTTCTGGACCTCCAGGACTGCCTGGTACAGCTCTGCTTGGGGACCAGTGAACCTGAAGGCAGTGGAAAGCAAAGAAAGTAACTTCTCAGATGGGAACTCCTCACTTCTGCATCAAATTCAAGGTCAGGGCTACAGACATAAGAAAGAGAAACTGTTGCCCACCAATAGGCCAGGTCAGGCAGGACATTACTGAGGTTACCTCTTTCTATCCCAGGGAGAGGGAGAGATCTTTATCAACATCAGGACAGAGCAAAGCCAAAATCTGAAGGGAATGAAAGGGCAACTGGAACTAAGCAACAATCCCAGGGACACAATGCTGAATGATTTACAACATGAGACAGAAAGGCCCTCACACAGACAGACCAACCTACTATCCTACACCTCCCATGCATGCCCAGAGTTAGCATACACATGCTCAAAGGCAAGACCTATCTCTGAAGGTTAGCCTCACCTTGATAGCTGCAGTAAATTAAAAAAACAGCAATAACCACACACATTCTCACCATGAGTGGTGAGGAAAAGGTGGGAAATACAGTTCCTCATACTCTGTTTAGTTCACATAGTTTTAGTTTCACCAACACACCACAGTGATGGGTACATTATCATTGCTTTCATGGACAGACAGTGTAGACATCTGTATACACACATGCTTCCACACCCATACACATAACTAATCACTGAGTGTGTTTTTCACACTCCTTCAAAGTTAGCATGCTGCATGTTTCCTGCTGTTGGCATCCTACCTGCCATTGATGGGCCATGTACGGGTGATATCACTTACATAGCAGGAAGACTCACACCCGCCATCTAGCAAGACCATTTCACCATCCTGCAGAAGAAAGGAAGAAACGCAATGCGTGTCAGTCCAGTCCAGTGGCTAAGTAAGAAAATTTCTCTGTGAGAGGGCTGACCCTCAAGAAGGTACTTTTTTGCAAGAGGATAGTGCAGACTCTGTTCTTATCACAGAACAATGCCCTTGACAGGTACAGACAGGTACAGCTGAACTGCTTGATTTACTTTAGAGGAGGTCCCTAAATAAAAACAATACCTAGAAAACCCAAGCTCCAATAATCTGATGTTCAGGCTTTTCTGGGGAAAGAAACGTGAGCTGTTCTGTACCCTGAAGAATCAATACCATCCAAGCAGGCTGCCATCTGTGGTCACTGCTCTACACTAATCAGGGTCAAGCAGGGAGGGTTCCCCTTTTAATCCCTGGGACAGAAAGGGTATGAAGTGATGTGGAAGAAGTGATGTGGAGAAAGATTTGCCCAGTGCTTCCGGTGCATGAACTCAGGAAAGGTCAAGGAATACCTGGGCAGTTCTAGCCTGCAGGACTCCTCTGGTAACAGGACAACAGGAGATCTACTGTGCACTCCCAACACTGCCAGCACAGTGCTGCTGTCCATGAACACTCCCAATTATTGCTATTATTTTTCCTGCTATCTTTTAGTCTCAGGCTCTGAATCAGCTCTTCTGAGATGGATTTGGAGGTCTTAGTTATAGGAAGGCTTTAGATGCGTCCACTGCCAGTCTGATTCAGCAAACACCTTTCAAACTGATAGAGTGCCTGCTGCTGCCATGCAAGCTAAGTGTCTAAGTGTGGAATAACTGCCTTGTCCTTCCTTCTGCAAAAGACTATCAACTGTGCAGCCACTGCTGTATTAATTCCAGGACAGATTCTGTGTTCACTTATTCTGTGTACAACTTCAGTGTTTTAAGGAGATACCACAGCCAGGCAGCCAGAACAATGCAGAGTCCCTTACCACAGATCTCAGAGTGAATGGGAGGGAGTAATTCTAGTGCATTAAAGGAAAACTCATAAAGTCAAGTCTCAGATACTTCTGGTGCTGATTATTCACACTATGCATAGAGAAATAGTATGAACATTCATATGAGTAGTTAATAAACTGAACCCATTGGAGTACAGACAGATGTGACAACTGCACCAGTATCAAAGGATAGTGATGTAAGCTGTTACAACACAACTGTTACATCTTCCTGATCCTGTAGAGATGCAAGTGTAGCAAAACCACTCCAGCTTTAACCCTTCATACATGTCAAAGTTGGGAGGATTTAGCTTGCTACATGATCATAAAGATGTAACAGTTACAGTATAACAGGTGCTGTATCCTTCTGGGCAGCAACTTCCCCACTTTTAAGGCAGCTAAAATGTCCATTTGTCCTTGATTCAAAGGCCACTCAAATGCCATTCTGAACTTATGAGCAACTGCTTTAATTATTTTAGTCACGTATGGGATGGTCCCCCCACCTGTTCTCTTGGGAACAATGAAGTAAGCTGAGTAAATGCTGGAGAAATTATTTGCTGAGGGGAATCTCTCTCCAATCTAAATGTTTTAGAAAAGTTCTACTATGTCAAACGTCTTGTCTCCTTATCTTAAAGGCAGGCAGAGCAGAGCAGAGCTGCTGCTCTTGATTACTCTAGGACAGCTGTTCTCAACCTACTTAAACTCAAGGCATCCCTTGGAAAATACCAGCTCTTAGTTTTCAATCACTTCTTGAATATGGAAAAATAATAGAACAATTATTTTGTTGCAAAGAACTCAGACCTCAGCAGCTCAGATTTTTGACACTGTGGATTCCTATTTGAAATCACTGGGTTTATCTTGTGGATCGCATATAGGCATCTGCACGCCTAATACCTGCATAACAGCCTGCTGCAACCTTGAAAGGCTCTCATGGCACTCGGCTGAGAATCACTGCTCTAAGAGGTAACTCCAAGGTATTATGTATAAGGGCAAGATCCTTCTGCTTTTCAGAAAGGCTCCAAATGGTGCCAATTGGGTCTAAGTATTACAACAGTCATGTCTGCCAATGTGCAGATAGTGGGCACATCTACATGTTCATTAATGCGCCATAATCAGCGCTACTGTGCATTAGTGCAAACAAATGTTTTGTGATGCTTAATTTTCATTGCACTAAACCTACTGCACATTAGCACAAACAAACACTTCTTTATGTGACTAACATACTGCACAATAGCATGTTTTTTGCCAGCCACACTAATGCGTAGTAGACTTAGTCCAATGGGCATTAAACGTCTCATGTAGACATGCCCAGTGTTATCCAATGAATGAAAGTGTTTGCATCTGTCACCTCTTTCTTCTTTCACTGTAAGAGGGAACTTCCCCAAAGGATTTGGTGAGTTGCCTGACTTAATTCTAAAGTAAATTGATGATATTTTTGTACAGGAAAGGCAAGTTCTATAAATGAAAATATAATTATAATTATAAACACCTTAATTCCTGACATAGCTACCCACATTGTTGTTATCCCACATTATGGTCAGGGGAAGCAGGTACACATCAGAGGAAAAGGAAAGCAAGAGTCTGGCTAACTATTTCATCCTTTTGGGTAACTGGTTTGGTAACCCTCTTCTTGTAGGCTTTTGTCCTAAAGATCTTAAGTTTGTTAGTCGTGGGTATTGGGGGAGGGGGCGCGTCTTGTGGCTGTGGTCTGCAGGAGAAGCTGGAATTGATGTTCTTGTGGAAATTTTGGGACACACATCTATTAGTTGGTTGCCAGGAATCACAGGGGACTGTATTCAGTGTCCCAGGAGATCCTTTAAAGTTCTGTGGGGCTATGGTGAGGGAGTAAAACCAGTTTCATTAGACTCACCCTACCCAGTGTTTCAGCCTCCCTTTTCCCCAAAAGGGAGAGGCTGGGGCAAGAGCCATCTCTGTGGGGTAGAGAGAATCGGGGCAACTGCCTTGGGTCCCACAGAGTTGAGCCAGCCGAGTCGGACCACCTTCACATCCTGCTGCTTGCCCTGCCCCACCCCCACCCCCACCCCCATGACCAGGCCCTGCACAGGCTGATTTGCCCTGGACCATGCACCCTACTATGGTCATCTCTGGCTGGAGCTACAGATTGTCAAGGGCCTGCTAGTCTGTCGGTACAATATTAAACAGTGTAGTTCAAACACTTGAAAGATGTGTGGTTTACCTTGATAAGCTGATTGTTTTTCACATAGTGCAAGGTGTTAGACCTGTTACCACCAGCAACCACAGGGGGGTAAGCCAAGATGTCAGCACCACGAGCCCGGCACTCAAATTCAAACTGAAGGAACAAGTCAGACAAAGGAAGCCTGTTAATTCTGGTACAGTCACCTCCTGTACTGGAGCTGTCATACGTACTGCCATTTTCTCTCCCTATGCAGAATGTAGCAAGCCAAATGAAAATGAAACTGCATAGATCATGCCCTGAATGAAAACAGCCCTGAGCCCCACCCAGGGTCCCAAGAATAGCAGAAGTGCAAGAACAACCATTTTTCATGGAAGCATCTAGAATTCAGTGTTTGGTCTCTTGGAAGAGCTACCTATGCTTCAGTTGCTAAAAGCTGTACCAAAATTTTATGATGCTGTCATTATATATCATATAGTTGGAAGGTATTGGTGCATATTTTAAACACTGCTCTTGCTCAAGTCCCACACAACCCTGCACATTTTAAAGGTCCTATGTGACCAGGTGCCAATATTTTGGAAATCAATATTTCCAAAGTACCAGCAAACTTTAGACTATTATTTGGGTTTTTTGTGATCCTTGCATTTTAAAAGAAATACATTTCTCTAGAAGTCTGCACTGCTGATCAGCACAGACTCATCTCAGGTAGAAAAAAGGCAACCAGGTTCTACTTGCCTTTAAATTTCCCATTAAAATCTCCAAGAATATTTGGGTGAGAAATGTAAGAAAAATGTATAATTTAAGGTTGTTCTGCAACTGCCTCAGGAAGATGCTTTGTTTAAGAGGTAGGTCTAATTTAGTCATTACATCTTCAGACTCCCCCAGAATGGAATACCTCGTAAAAGATGCAGAAGTTTCTGTAACTGGAAACCAGCTCTGCTGGGTAACATACATATTAACCTAATATGTGCTTAGATCAGCATTCTCAACCTTTTTAGACAAAGCACCCCTCCATAACTTCTAATTTAGCCTCATCCTGTTTCAAAAACTAATTTATTTACTGCAGTATATAAAAATATGACTGCAGTTCTTTTGTTTCAAAGAACTCAGAAAGACCACAACAGATCAGAATGTTTTTGACACTACGGATTCCTGTCGGAAATCTTTGGGTTTATCTTTTGAATTGTGTGCAGGTGCTTGCACTCAGTACTAATATTGTGCAGCACCCCTAAAAGAACCACACAAAGCCCTGGTCATGAATCACTGATCTAGATTCATGAATTCCTCTTTTCAGTAATGCAAAGAAAGAGACTAGAAGGCATACGGATAGAGTTCTTAGCCAGAACAACAGCAGGATATATAGTGAGAAATGAAGCCCTAACTGGGAAAGACTGATTCACCTTTGGAAAGTTCATTGCCCTTGTCCTCCTTCAAAACATTCCTGGCTGTCTTCTGACGTTTTCCATTAGTAGCCTGTACCAAGGCTGTTAGTTAATTACAGCCATTATGACCAACGCTACATCTGATATTTATAGTTAATAATGCCATACAGTTTAAATTACTGTATTTCACAATAGTATACCAAGTCAATTAGTAGATAAACACGATTCCTACAGGTAAAAGTGCAGAGTTGTATCACATGGTGTCTATGCCTTGGGTAAGGAAGGTAAGGAAAAGCTCCTGGATTCTCAATGGAGGAAAGTGGCAGCAGTGGACCTTCACTGAAGCCCCAGATACAATCCCAGAATTCCTGCATTCATCCCACTCAGTTACCCATTTGGGCTGACTTTCCAAAAGCATACACCTAACAGAGGGGGGTTATGAAATCATGCCCAACATAAACACTCCCACTTCAGCCACACTCACGTGGATGGAGAGGGGAGTGCTTCAGAGAAAGGATTTTATAAGAACTGAAAAGCATAGGCTATCTCCTTCTCTCTTTCTTGTCACCTTTGCTTTTATTTATTCATTCAACAGATCTCTTTTTGTTGTCTTCCTCTATTGCTGCTTCCTCTCCCTTGTTCTTTGAATGCTATTTCCCTCCAACTTACACACTGACCAAATAGTTCCCCACCACCACCAGTGGGAAAGGCACACCCAGGAATACTGTTTGTTCTCCAACAATACCTGCTCCTTTAAAAGGATCAGGCTAGATAGCTGCAGCTTCAGAGAGAACTTTTGCCATCGGTAAGGTGTTTTAGAACAGTGTATTATCTAGGTTATAGAATGTTGGTATTTCCTCACACAGGAAGAGATTAAAAGCATTCCTCAGCAGTCTTCACTAAAGTTTCAGCCCCCATCCAGATTGCCGATTCGGAACAAAGGCATTAAAACAAAGCTTTCCAGGAAAGATGTGTAACACTGCAGTCAGCCTTTTACACACACTAATGCACAATCATACAAGGATCTGAGATGGAACCTCAGGCTTTTAGCACAGAAGGGCCAGGATTCAAAGCCCACTGTCACTCAAAGAGCACTCTAAAAAAACCAGCTGAGCTGCAGCCGTAATCCAAAGGTGCTTGCTGGACTGGGCTACAGCTCTGTATTGAACAGTGCAGTAATCAAAGGAACCAAAAATTGGGTGGGAAAGGGTTGCAGTGGTATGCAACTAGCACTCAGAGGCAGCTCCCAAGGCTTTTCTCTTCCTGGAGGAACAAATATCCAGCTCTCTTACCTCCACAGTGTAGTTCATAGAATGATCAGGTACTTACCTTGGCATACAGAAATGCTTCATCCACTGGGGATTTGCTGGCAAACATTGTTTCTATGAAAGCCTGTCAAACAGGAACATGGGCCTTTTATTAGCCAAGGGCCTGAAGCTGAAGGAAAACATCTCCTTTAACTCCAAAAATTTTGAATAAGACATTCAGGATTACAAACAGTGCAAAAAAGCCCTGTCCTATAACGCAAGAATCAGAACAAAAATTAATTTAAAAAGGTGTGGGGAGAAGATGGTATGAGAAAGTGAGAGCAAAAGGGTGGTGGGAGCATGGGAAAGCACCCTTGTTCTGGAGTGGGAAATGTTTTAAAGGAAGTCAAGTACATAATTGCTGGCTTGTCTTGGTTGGAATGATGTCAACTGTGAGCTCTCCGAGTTGTCCCCCTGGCTCAGCTTACTTTTATCAGGCTTGCCCCATTTCATTTTTGTCAGCTGCTCTCTGCCAGCCTCTCAAGAAACAATCACCCTGTTTATTTGATGGGTGCACACCCCATACCTGTGATGTCACCCTTCCAACAACCTTCATCCTCTCAATCTCTGCAGAGGATTTGATCAGCCGGAGGTTTTGCACCAGGTGACAGAAGCCTCGGATACGGTTTTTGCTTCCAGTTTTCATCTCAGTCAGAGGCTGTAGGTACTCAGAGTGGAGCTGAGGGTGCACAGGCCTTGCATAGTCATACCAAACCACATTTGACTCACCTGAAACACAAAACAAAACAGGCTCAGGCTAAGATATAAGATGCAAATGTTTGGAGAGTGCTAAATGAATAACCTCCTCCAATATTAGGAGACAATGGTTTGACATGCTATCTGAAAGGTAACTGCCCCCCAAATTTGTGATACAGTCTTAGGCCTTACATAAGCTCTGAGAGTAATAGGCAGACAAGGTTCTTTGGGTAAATCTGATATCTTTTATTAGACCAACAGTTGGTCTAATAAAAGATACCAGATTTACCCAAAGGACTTTGTCTGCCTATATCCTTAGACCAACACAGATACAACCTACACCCCTGAGAGTAACAGGGCATTCATGATCTCCATAGAATCGAGCAGATTAGTAATGTGCAGACTAACAAGTGTTTTTGTAGATTTAACAACAGTTTATTAATTTAGAAGCATACACTCAATCAGCAAACACCTGTTTGCATAAAAGTACCCAGCTACACTCACTCCTCATAAAGGCAGCCACAAAAGTGAGATAAGATGAGTCAGGGAGAGCATTTCATTCCAGAAACATAACCTTACAATAGTGCCTATCGAGTACTTGGATTCCTGGGGTTAGAGCCCTACTGACCTCATAAAACAAATACACCCCTTGGTCACAACCACCTTAAGTCCAGATCACTAACAATTCTTTTTTAGGCCGCCTTGCTTGAGAACTCTTTGCCACAGGTTTTCCATTGAAGAGGACTTGTTCAGGGAGAATGCAATTACCCTCAAAGCAATATTCACCAAACCATTGAGGACAGCATACTTACCCCTGCTGTGTGATCTTTTAATCACAGAATCATGGAATAGTGCTGGAAGGGATCTCTAGAGGTCATCTAGTCCAATCCACTGCCTGAGGCAGGATCATCCCTATCCAACCCATCCTGTACAAATCTATTGTCTAACCTATCAGCAAAAACAGAGTCAACCCTGACACAACTACAAGGCATAACACCCTA